AATCACAGAGAGACTATTCATAGCCTTTATTTTCTAGATTGATTTAGATTTATTTGTGTTTCATTTTTCAATTACTTATAATCAACTATGATTATAAATTTTGTATATGGAAAGCTCAGTCAAACACATACCATTTATATATACAACTTCAGCTTATTTTATTATGAATCTCTTATCTTTTTATTATTAGATAATAATGGATCCTAACATGGACCCCGAAAATTCTCTACGTATTTCCAACCTTAATCATTTTCAATCATAAAATAAATATGGAAACATTTTTGAGAGGAGATGAAAATGGTATCATTGATCATGTTTTTATGAATCGTTTCTCTCGATTATAACTTGAACCCTTTTTTAGAAAAGTCAAGATAAAAACTTATTTTTATGGAACATTCTAGGTTAAAATTGATAATTTTCAAAAAGAAGGTATACATACCTTCCTCAACTTCTAATAACTTTATTTTTCGAGGATTTCGATTTTAAGAAAAAAATGGACAATCTTCATTAAATTTAACGTATTCTAAGAAAATCACACTTCTCACAAAAATTTGAAGATCAAAGGGAAAACTTGTTCCACACAAGATGTTTGGTCAAAGGAAACCCATGCAGCTTGGTGATTGATAGTGGAAGTTGCACAAATGTGGTAAGTAGCTTCCTTGTAAAAAGACTTCAACTTTCTGTTCATCCCCATCCAAAACCATACAAACTTCAATGGTTGACAAACAAAGAAGAAATTAAGGTGAATTCCCAAGCTCTTATTTCTTTTACTCTTGGAAGATATAAAGATGATGTTCTTTGTAATGTCGTACCAATGCATGCGAGGGACATCTTATTTGACCGACCTTGGCAATACGATAGAAAGACGAAAAGAAAAGAATATGAAGAACAACAGTGGAGAGAAGAAACTAAGGTAAAGGTGAGAAAAAAAAATATATTCAGTTCTTGTCCGGAAAGAACGATGAATTTGATTTGAGAACAAATCCTTTTAAAGAAAGGGGGATGATATGAATCCAACAACTGATCACTTCCATGTACCTGAATGAGCAATTACAAGAAGCAATACAAAGAAGATTCAAGAATCAAATCAAGAAAATAATGGAGTGGCTTATCTTGGAAAGTGATTAGAAGACTTGCATTGGACTACATATTAAGACAATTTATGAATGCCTTATTTTCTTCAATTTATATTTAATAGCATTTATTAGTGATTTGTAGTTGGTGGCTAAACTTTATTATGTTAGGGTTATCTTTTGGGTCTATTTAAATGCATGAAATATTCATGTTTGGATGAATGGTTGAATACTGACAAAACCTTTGTGTTATGTTAGGGTTATCTTTTGGGCCTATTTAAAGGCATGTAATATTTATGTTTGGATGAATGGTTGAATACAGACAAAACCTTTGTGTTATGTTAGGGTTATCTTTTGGGCCTATTTAAAGGCATGTAATATTTATGTTTGGATGAATAGTTGAATAGAGACAAAACCTTTGTGTTTTCTTGACACCAACTTTTGGACCTATTTAAAGGCATGTAATATTCAGGTTTGAATGAATGGTTGAATAAAGACAAATCCTTTTTCAAACCTTTGGTGTTATTCTTTTTCAAACCTTGCTTTAGGGATTCATTGAATTAGTTTTGATCAAGCTAATTTGAAGTGAATTATCTTGGTATCTAAGAGTGACCATCATAGATTCCAAATTTGAATTAGTTTTGATCAAGATAATTATTCGGGAGTGAATTGTCTTGGTAACTCCAAGTTTGAATTTTTTATCAAGCTAATTCTGGAGTGAATTGTCTTGGTATCTAAGAGTGAGTGAATTGTCTTGGTATCTAAGAGTGATCTTGGTATGTAAGAGTGAGTGAATTGTCTTGGTATCTAAGAGTGAGTGAATTGTCATTTTAGAGTGAATTGTCTTGGTATCTAAGAATGACTGTCATATGAATTAGTTTATTATATGAATCAATTGTCTTAAATTTGCTAATTATTCTGGAGTGAATTGTCTTGGTAAGAATGACTAATTAGCTAACAAAAATTACAATAAAAGTCAATTGTACAATACTAGAGAAATTCAAGAACATGCTGGCTATGGGGTTCAAACCCATGCACACTTTTGTGTAGAAGATCTTAAGGCGCTATGGGGTTCAAACCCATGCACACTTTTGTGTAGAAGATCTTAAGGCTTCCCCCTTAACCTCTCGAGCAAACCAGCTTGTTTAACTAACAAAAATTACAACACAGTAAAAGTCAATTGTACAATACGTTTGTAGAGAAATTCAAGAACATGCTAGCTATGGGGTTCGAACCCATGCACACTTTTGTGTAGAAGATCTTAAGTCTTCACCCTTAACCTCTCAGGCAAACCAGCTTGTTTAGCTAATAAAAATTACAACACAGAAAAAGTCAGTGGTAAGATATGTTTATAGAGAAACTCAAGAACATGCTGGCCATGGGGTTCAAACCCGCACTTATGTGCAAAAGATCCTAAGTCTTCCCCCCTTAACCTCTTGGGCAAATCAGCTAGTTTTCTAACAAAAATTACAACACAGAAAAAGTCAGTCGTAAGATACGTTTATAGAGAAGGGACATGCTGGCTGGCTATGGGATTCGAACCCATGCACACTTACGTACAGAAGATCTTAAGTCTTCCCCCTTAACCTCTCGGGCAAACCAGCTAGTTTTGCTAACAAAAATTACAACACAGAAAAAGTCAGTCGTAACGTACATTTATAAAGAAATTCAAGGACATGTTGGCTATGGGGTGCGCACTTATGTGCAAAAGATCTTAAGGCTTCACTCTTAGCTGTTGGATCGGTATGGCAACCCTAGAGGGGGGTGAATAGGGTTTTAAAGATAAAAGTATTTGGGTTTTAAAGATAAAAGTATTTGGGTTTTAAAGATAAAAGTATTTAAACGTGATTAATTTTTCTAATGATAAAACTTTTTACAAATAAGTAGAAGATGATAATTACTATAACAAAATAACAGTCAAAACAATTATCAAGTAGAATATGCAAAAAAAAAATTACAATAATAATTTTGATATTAAATAGAAAAGAGTTAGAAAATATGACATCGTAGTTTTATAGTGGTTCGGTCAAACTCGACCTACTTCACTCCCCAAGCGTCTCTTGAAAATTTGAATAAAGAACTTTCTCGACTCTTTCTACGGATCAAAGCCAAACCGCTACAACGCTCTTTGTACAAGTTCAAGGCAAACTCAATCCTTTCCACGGCGCAGGATCAAACCGGTACAAGTATTTGAATTTTGGTAGTAACACACTCTCTCAAGAATAAGATGAATAAAAATAAAATTGGAAGCTTGAAGAGAGCAACAAACAATGGATACTTTGAACAAATGAGAATTGGATAACAAATAAAGATCCAAGAATTTATAGAAGTTGTGTATTTAAAATTTGGGAGAAGATGAGTTTACACCGAGAAGAAAAGTGGCAAAATGTAGGAATTAATAGTGACCTTGGATTCAGTTAGGAATAATAGAAATTGGAGATTAAAAGTAAATAAATAAGAAAATTTTTAAAATTTATTTATTTAAATTTTTTAATATAATAATAATAAAAAGAAATGTGAGTAATAGTGAAATAAAAAATTCAAAATTTATTATAAATATAATAATATAATAATAATAAAGACGATGTGAGTAACTACCAACATTTTAAAATATAATAATATAATATAGTAATAATAAAAATTAATGGAATAACGATTAGATTTAAATTTATATTTTGTAAAAATAATTTTATTTAGAAATATAATAATAAGAAAAACTTCACAATTTGTTCTTCCAAAATTATAAATATCATATGATATACTTTTTATTTGTCCATCATTTTTATTTTGTTGCCACATCATCATGTGTGTTCCAAAATTATAAATGCCATACTTTATGTTCCAAATTATAAATGTAATACTTTAATATACTTTAATTTGTCCATTATTTTGATTTTACTGTCACATCACCACATCAAGTATGTTGTCTTGTTCGTTTTAGCTCTGATTTGAGTAATTGAAAGTCGTTGAAATCGTTATTCTGAAAATAGTTAATAATTAAAAGTAGTTGAAATCGTTATTCTGAAAATAGTTAATAATTAAAAGTACGCTTGTTATCATCAGAACATCAATCAAAATAATAATTAAAAGTATGCTTTTTATCATCAGAACATCAATCAAAATTGATTGAAATTAATTAAAATGAGATCAATGGCTAAAAAACCAACATTAACCGACAAACTAGTTAGTTTAGCTAACCAAAATTACAACACAAAAAAAGTCAATCGTAACATACGTTTAGCTAACAAAAATTACAACACAGAAAAAGTGAGTCTATAACATACGTTTATAAAGAAATTCAAGGACATGTTGGCTATGGGGTTCAAACTCATGTACACTTATGTGTAGAATATCTTGAATCTTCCCTCTTAACCTCTCGTGCGAACAGTTTTCGCTTAGGTTCGAATGACCCAAATGAAGTAAATCAAAATCAGGGTTGACCAAAGGGAAAGAAATAAATCGAATGGTCCAAACAATACAATAAAAAAAATGAACCATTAAATTTTTCTAACAACGTAGGTGTGTGGAGAAAAAGATCGAAAAAGATCACTAAATTTAAATTAGATGATAGAATATACAAGATCAGAGGAAATAGAATCACAGATCAGAGGATGATTTTCTAAATTCAACCGAGGACATTAAGGATGTCTAATCCTCGAATGTACAAGAGAGATATTGGACAGTAAAAAAATGTTAGATATATTCCTTGTCTCAAAAAGAACCTAATCTCTATTGGTCGGATAGTATGCAACAAAGTTTGGGAAGAGTTTCGTTGAAGATTGGGAAGGATGCTATGGTAGTGGATGCAAAAGCACAAAGACAAAAGGAACCGATCTTTGAATAGGAAAAATAGTGGATCAAATAAAAGCTTAATGTCATAACACAATCAAATAATGTTACAATAATCTTCCATAAACAAAATCAATCTAGAGTTTTATTATTCATTGCATGAAGATTCCAACGACATTTCACAATCTTTGAGAAGATTGATGTTCTGTGGTTCCTTGAATCCTTAAAAACCACAACATTCTATGTTCCTATTTCTCTCCTCTCTCCTTCTATAACTAAAATTATTTTTAAAAAATTAAAACCTTAGAATCTCCGTACTAAAATTAGTGCATTACATTTTATTATTATGAGCTGATTTGGCAATCCTATGTTTGTGTCACTGTCACTTACTGATGTTCCTATGTGTTGTTGTTTCCTGTTCCAGACTCAAATGGGCTGTCTGGTAGATTGTATCCTTCGCTGCCAACAAACAAACAATCCCAATTAACATCATCATCATCCATTTCTTCACCATCAACCTCATCTCGGTTTCGGCCGTTACCTGTCGTCGAGGTTCAGCTCGGGGTGATTCCAAGCCGCCGTGTTTCGGGGTGGTTTTTGTTCATCGACTATCGAGCTACACCCCGAACTAGAGCCAGATCCCGGGCCGGAGAAACTTTTCATAATATTCATCATACGATCAAAACTCTCTGTTCTTGGGAATGTGAAATTCTGTGTAAGAATCATTATAAACATGAAGAATTGAGAGACGAGAAAGCTTGTGATTAACCTTCTGGAACTGGAAGTCTTAGTTCTTTCATCTGATAGCTAAAGTACGAACAATTCGTAGCAGATTTCGGCATTAACGTCATCTCCGTAAAGCTCCGTTCGACTTCGAGTGCGTGTTGTTCTTGTTGTCGTTGTTGTTCTTCGATTCTTAGCCTCAGCATTGTGGAGGCAGAATCATAATCTAGAATGATTGTGTTACAAACGATATGATAAGAATGAACATGACAAGCGACAAATCGAATCTCTCGTACTTACTCGAGTGAAGCTGCTCGGGTTCGAGGCTGTTATAGTGTGAAGAAAAATAAGCTTGCTGTTGCTGTTGTTCAATCCTATCTTGGTTCTTCCTGAATCAAATCAAACCATGTATTAAAAATCGGATGAAATAGGCATAGGTGCTCGGGTTCGAAGGTAGTAAGTAAAACCTTTCCAACAGCTTGGACTTTTCCCTATAAGGTTTCACGAGAACTCGAGCCCCGCAAATTAAATGCTCGCTGTCCTCGGACAAGATTAGTTTCACTGTCTCGACGCTGTGAAACGTCACGAACCCGAACATCCTTCTTTGTTGACAAGGGATTCTTACATCTTCAACTAGTCCATAGTGGATACTACATTGACACAAACAAGGTTAAGTGCAAATTTGAGACAGTAATAAGCCAAAAGGCAGAGACATAAACACAAGCATTTAGCATTTTGCCTGAAGTAATCAGAAACGTCATCTTCAGTGAAGCTGCTATCAGCTGGAAATGTCATATATATCTGTCGTGCGCTGCTAACGTTCGGACTCGTGTCGTTCTTGTCCTTCCGATGGTCGATGAATTTCAAAGCGTCTTCTGCTAAAATGACAGAATGTTGCCCATGAGGCCTGAATGACATGAAATTACAAACCAAAGATAAGCATATACAAACCCGCCACTACTAAAATCAAGTTGAAACCGAAACCGAAACCGAAACCGACCTGTCGATCACCTGAATGCTGCTTTTCAAACGAGTGAGGAGTTTCGTTAAGCTAAAACCCGATTTACCATGCCTCTGACTCTCAGTCAAGTATCCTTCTGCTTGAAGAACCTTACCATACTTTTCATAGTAAATCATTGGCAGTGAAGCAATTGAAATAGGACTGCCTCGTCTCGATCTAAGAAGTTCAACGATTTCAAACTCCAACCGCTCGAGCGAACCGGGCCGAAAAACATGATCATCATTGACATTATACATCTGAGAAAAGCTCCCAGGCATTTGGTTGCTATGGAGATACCTACAACTATTACCATGCTTGCAATTTCCTTTGCTGTAATAGTGACATATCCTCGGCTGATACTCGACCACGGTCGAGTGATGTCGAGCAGTCCTCGAACTAAATTTGTTAACCATTGCAGCATTCTCAACATAGCTACAATCATAGCTCGAAAGACCGTTCGGCGGTTCGATATGATCGTCTAAACAAAAGAAGTGAGCTGGCTTTTGTAGTTCATACATAGAATCAGGGTATAGTGATGTGCGACTGTCTCTCATGGCAAAAGGAACAAAAGCTCCCGAGGACGGGGATGGGGGCGGGGACGATACCGGGGCGGGCATCGATCTTAAAGCTAATAGATGCAGCTGAGTCTTGACTAGATGAACCACTTGTTGGATATCATGGTCAGGGGCTAGTGCTAAGCGAGCCATTTCTTGATCATAATGATCATGAAGAAGCAAAAAACAAATGATGTTCTCAACATTCTCTGGATCTATTTTACTGATTCGATGGAATACAATTTTTCTGTACTCCGACAACTCCATATGGATTCAACACTACAATGAAACATAACAAAAAAAAAAAACAAGGAATTACAAAGGAAAGAGTGCCAGAGAAACGAATCGAACCCAAGATGGCAACATCATGATCACATTCCATAATTTGTTCTAAACAAAGAAACAACACTAATTTCTTCACACAAAAAAAAAAAAATCGCTTGTTCTTCGGTGTTTTGTCTCAACTTCATAGAATTCTTTAGAAATTTTTCAAAAAAACAAAAAAAGATAAGAAATTTTTCAAAAAACCAAAAAAGATACAAACTTTCCAAAACCCATTTGAAAAAACATCATAAGAATCGGATTAAACTACAAGAATCTTAAAAAAAAAAACATAGAATTCTTTAGAAATATTTCAAAGAAACAAAAAAAGGTACAAACTTTCGAAAACCCATTTGAAAAAACATCATAACAATTGGATTAAACTACAAAAATCTTCAAAAAACATAGAATTCTTTACAAATTTTTCAAAAAAACCAAAAAAAGAACCAAACTTTAGAAAACCCATTTGAAAAAACATCATAACAATCGGATAAAACTACAAAAATCTTCAAAAAAAAGTGCAAAAAGTACCAAATCTGGGAGATTTATACAGAGAAAAAAAGACCAAACTCCAATTTTCTTTTTGAATCTCTGTGATGAAGAACAGTTGATGAGAAGAACAGAACCCAGAAAAAGAAACGAATTCGTAATTAAATTGATGAAAAGATGAAAATAAAAAGACACTTACATAGTTTTCGAATTGAGTAATTTGAATTTGGAAAACTTGAAGCTGCTCAGCTTTCCTTTTATACATGAAAATTACAGCCACAATTATTTGAAACAGGGTGAAATGAGGCAATAATTTTTGCTTGAATATCGAACTGGACTGTAACTGAAACAAGATTTTTTTTCATTTCTGGAATTACAAATTCACCCTTTTAACCAAAATTCGGAAAAACCAAGAAAAAAACTCACAACAAAACCACACATGTCGGCAAACTGCAACTCTCCCAGTGACAGAACAGACTCACTTCATTATTTTTGTCTTTTTTTTTTCATTAAAATGATCACAGAATAATCTGAACCGTTGGATTGTTTGTTGTGATTCACAAATTAAAAGGCTTTTTTTTCTTTTAGTTTATGTATTTTTAAGAACATTTTATCCATTTGATCCAAGACAAGAAACCACTTGTTCCTAAAAAAAAAAAAAAGATTTAATTTTTATTTTCTTGTGTAATTAATGATTTTGGATTATTTAATTTTGGTGAGGGGTAAAATGGGGAGACTGAAAGTTGGGTTTAGTCAGAGAAAGAGTAGGAGAGTGGGCTATTCAAAAGGCTTGATGGGAGGAAATTTTGAAGTCAAAATTTTGAAGTACAAAAATATCTTTGGCTTACCGGTGTTCAAAAAATCTGATAACTTTAAAGATCGGATCAACTCAACCTAAATTAAGATTTTGTAAATGTTTGTTGTTTAATATCTAATGATGTAGAAATGGTTAAGAAGTTGGATGATCCGAAAAATCTGATCCACTCAATCCAACTCGGGGTTAAGTTCAAATGTTATGAATTTTTACTGGGTTAAGGGTTCTTGGGTTAAGTTCAAATGTTATGAATTTTTACTGGGTTAAGGGTTCTTGGGTTAAGTTCAAATGTTATGAATTTTGTTCGTTCATGGGTTCTCCTAAATTATATTGGGTTGAATGGAACCAACCCGTCGATAGGTGTGAGATTGAAGTTTCGAAGATCGTAGTATGATATTGTCCACTTTAAGATTTGGGCTTCCTCAAAAGGCGTCATAGCCGATGTGAGACTTTCATCCAATAGTGACAAGGGCTTCAACTAATCTGTTCAAGCAACATTGTTGAATGAGTCACAAGGTCAACAAGTCGATGAAGCCAATGGGATCGTTGATGAGGCTTTGTCCAATCAACTTTCTACGGGAAGTTTTATCCATGACAACGAGGAGCACCATGGACAAAACGAACCAAACAAGATCGACTCTATTTCGGGATCTAACTCTAAAATAACATGATTAATAAAATGGGTATGATCGAATGGTACAAGAAAATGATATTTGTTGCAGCTGGGATTTCAGCATACACCATATGTTGCCTTGAAGACAACAATTGTAAGGTGAAATCATGTGAAGCAGCTACCGAAGAATTGACAGCAAAAGCCAAATGGTTCAAACTTGGTGTCCCTTACAACGGTTTATTTGTATTGTATTAAATGAATGAATGAAATTATTTATTTACTAAATTTATTAATTAATTATCAAACAATACTTCTACTAATAATTAAAATTATTTAACCTTTCTATTCTAATAATTATTTTATGTGTAACGCTCCTGTATTTCTATTAAAACAAGTTTGTCATGGTATGCACGACATGTCTATTATATATGTAAAAGAGATTATGTAAAAGAAATTCTCGTGAACTACTGATTGAAGTTGGGAAATGCAACCACAAGCAATCATAGTGAACCTATCTTTTCATAAAAACATCATGGCCTTGAACTCTACTTTTCGGTCCCTACGCACGGGTCATGCATGTGTACATGGACCCACCGAGCGGTCTCACCGAGCGGTCTCGTATACATACCCCTAGGTCTAGCCTTCGACTAGCGCATGCTCATGCTACCAAAACTACAACATTTTCTCATTTTTAAAATATAACGCCTTAAACAAAATCCCAACAAAATAATTCCAAAGTTTAGATTTGACCTTCAAATTTTTTAACATCCATTGGATACTTAATTATAAATTGTTAGCAATTTTTAAATAAAGTAAAAGATGAAGAACATAGCCTAAATATATAAAACCCCATGAAAGACAGAAAAAATTAGATAAGATTTGAAATGATGAGTAAGATCAAACGAACATCAACTCATAAAATTTAGTAACTTTGGCTTAGGCCAACAAGGTAAATGTGTTGGAACTCCTTGGAACTATGTTGGATGACTTGGGTGTTGTATGAATGACAATACCCTGTGGCCTATTTACATGTTATTTTATGATGTTATGATATGTTACATTATGACTGTGTTACATTGATGAATGTTATGTGATGCATGTATATCAAGTATGCTAGCCCATGTATGTATGATACCATATTCACCATTATGCCTATGAGACATTGGTGAGTCAGGTATGAACGAAAGAAGTACTATTTACACATATGCATATCTCATAGGGAAGTCATGGCATGAAAAGAGTGAAACATGTTTTGTAAAGACGCGTACATCATGATATGATATAGGTTCCTTTCTTTTCGTTAGTTTCTAGCAGCGTGATCATGTGCTAGCTCGTAGTCAAGCCTAGGGCTTCGTATACGAGCCCGCCTAGTGAGTTCATACGCTTACTGCGTGAATTGTGCATAGAGAAGCATCATGCATTCAACCCTACTCAGAAAAGAATGAAGAGTCAAGAATAGTCACGAAAAGATGGGTCACAATATGAACTATGATTGCATGTGATTGTATTTTCCAACCCTAATAGTTGAGCTACTTACTGAGTATTTTTAAATACTCATACCACGTTTACTATTTTTCACGTATGGATGACGGTGTCAATTGAGGAGGTCATGGAAACGAAGTGACAATAGTTAGATTTCTACATTTAAGTCATGGTTATAGGAAAATTACTAAAATGACCTTGAGGATGTATGAGTAAAAAGAGCAAAAATAATACATGAAACTGATCTAGTTGATGTTTTCGAAAGTTGAAATTAAGGTTGAATTCATTATTTTAGATTTTCCAGCATTAGTATCGACCTAAGATGTTGATTTCAATAAAGTGCTCACATGGGTATTAACTTGCACTTACAACGAAGACGGCGAGAAGAGTTTTCAAAAGTTACAGAATTTCTGACCCCAACCCTTATAGTAAGACGTTTATGAGTATATGTGAACGTTTATAAATGGTAATGATGTTCTAAGAAAATGATTAGTTCGAGTATAAAGATAACATGAGGAGACTAGTGTCCTACCCCGTGCTATTAAGGTAATATGAGAAGGTTAGTGTTCTATCTTACGTTCACTAAAAGAACATGAGATTATTTGCTCTACTCATAGTTTAAATTACGTTATGCTATCGATGCTCATAGACCTATCTCGGCTTACTCAATTTTGAACTCTAGAAAGAATATCAAACCCTTGGATTCATGCGAACTTTTTCCATTACTTCACGCGTTGACACTCATCAATATGTTCATAACTCACATTTATATGCATTTTGTTCTATATCTTTCAATTTATGATTTAAAATTTTATAACTCGAACAACTTGGTTAAATCTAAAAATGTCACGATCTAACTTAGATCAATTCAACCCACGAGATTTAGTAGAGATTTGAATATTGAGGTGGAGAGTAGGCATTGGCTTTTGAGTGATACCCAATGGATAATTATTTATTTATTTATTTTTATTCTTGATGTGACACCAATATAATGATTGTGCCAAGAACACCATATCATACACATAAATTTCCATGTCATACCTGCACAATTTAATGTGATGCTTTTGCAAAATTTTGTCTTTATCAAATATATTCTTTTATTAATATTAAGATTTTTCTTTAATAGACCGTTATAATCATCTAAATCTAAAAAAAAATTATTATTATTTAAACGAGTAATCTTTTAAATGTTCTTATTTAAAAAAAAAAAAAAAGTTGGGCCGAAACGTTAAGGCCCAAACCAAAACTCCCTCAACAAAAAGAAATACCGTTTCAACTGAATATAATAATATATAAAAAGTCAACAATTCGACCGTTGGAGTCTAAAGAAATATATCCGTTGGAAAACCACATTCATCACCACCCATCAGGCGTTATTCAACAAACAACCCTTTTAAGTAGAGAGTTCATTCCCGTTTCGCTTCTGCTTCCTTCACCGCTCCTACAAAATTCCGATCCCCATTTTCTTCCATTGCAACTCAAACCAGAAAGAAAAAGACTTACCATGGCGACCGAAACGAAAGATTCCGGTGCCGCCGCGCACGTAGTCGAAATCCCAGCAGAGAATCAGAACGTTATGATCTCTGTAATAGAACAACACCCATTGAGGCAAATCTCCGAAAGCTCTGGCCATTTATTGCTTTTAAAGCTCTGGCAACGAGAGGAGCATCTGTTCGGCCTACGAATTGGGCGGCGAGAGACCAAACTGGAGTCTCTAAAGCAACAGATCTTCCAACTCTGCTGCTACTTCTTCCTGTTCCACGCCCTGTCTCTGACTCTCTTGTTCACTTCGTCCGATCCCAATGTGTGCCACAAATGGTGGGTTCCGGGAGTGGCAATGGGGGCGACGTCGGGCGTGTTTGTGATCGTGGTGCAGCTGAAATTGTGGCTGTATTGGAAGGCATCAGCGCAGCTGCAAAGGGAGAAGAGTGAGAACAGAGCACTTACAAGATGTGTGCAAGAGCTGAGGATGAAAGGGTCGTGTTTTAATTTGTCGAAAGAGCCTCAAATTGGGCATAGGATGAAGAGCTCTAGTGTGGAGATTAAATGGGGGCCTCTTACTTTGTTGTCTAGGAATTTCGTCACCATTGTTCTTCTGTGCTTTTCTGGCATTGTTTTTGGTGCTTCCAAGTTCATACTCTGTGGCCTTTGAAGTGCTTCCAAGTTCAACTTGCTGCAGCTGCCAGGTTGCTCCTAATTACCATAGTTAATTGCATTTATTAGATCAAAATTTTGATTTGTGATGAATTTTGTTGCTTAACCATGGATTTTGTGTTGCAATGATGCAGGTTGGTGAAGCAACAAGAATAGTGTTGTGTTTGAAGTGAACCAAACTGATGAGTGGTTGATTATAAGCAACACTGCTTGTGGTGCACGTTGTGTTGTAGGCATGATTAGGAAGTTGGCCATATTTAGTAACTTTTATGGCTTAATGTCTATTCATAATTTTCTTTCTAGAAGCTCCCGTTCGGATTAGTAACTGTAATTCTTCACATCTTCAATAGAAAGATCTTAGATTTTGATGACATATAGATACTTTTTACTGGAGAGACCAGTGCTTGTTTATCTGTTGTTATGGTATTGAAGAGACTAGTTCCTTTGGACCCTTTTCATGTCGTTTAGTTTTTAAGGTCTGTTTGGAATGGGTTCTGAACACTTGAAAAAAAAAAAGACATTTCAAACCGACCCTTGGAAAATTTGACCATCAATATGGGGAATTCTGCCAAAAAAGAAAGTTTGTTAGGAGAAGACAGTTTGTTAGGATCAATAACGCACCCACGATCTAGATGAACATAAAGAACATGTGAGAGAAAACGTAAATGAAATATTGGCTAAGGTTTTTAAGATGATCATAAAGAACAGGTATAATACAATACAAGAGAATACATAGAAGAGAGTAAATACATATTCAAAGCACTGATATATATATATATATATATATATGGTTTCAGTTTGCTACTATATATACCGTTTAACACATATAAGCACATATAATCACCTTCTATATATATATAAATATCTACCATATATATCTCTATTCGGTTTTACTCTAAATAGTCATCTATTAATCATGCACTTCCAGCACAAAGATCCTAAAAATACCTTCAACAAGAAAATGAAGATAAAACTGAAAGTAAACCCTCCTGTGCATCAAATTAAACAGATTAGTGGGAAACATCAATATGCACAGATACTTGCCTTCATCAGCCTGATACTTGTTCTTGTCATCGCCAGCCATAAGAGCAAGTTAAAATTATGCTTTGGATTCCACTCCACACTGTTCGTCGCACCCCGACAAGGAATCTGGTGAACTGTTCGTCCCATTTGGACATTCGGCTGCAAGCAAAAGAAGAAACAAACCGTCCATAAACCACGCCATTAATCCTCTTCACCCAAAGACAAGGAGGGAAGATTCTAGGCTTTCATAGAACAGAGATCATACATAATAGGAAAGGAGAGGCACTAAAATCCTTACTATATCAATGGAACAAGTCCTCACTGGCAGAAGCAATGTATTCTCCTGTGTGGTTGAACTTAATTCGGTAGATATTTATATATATAGTAAGGGGTTATATCTATTAAAACTATATATAGGAGACTGAAACCATATATATATCCCATGTATATATTCCTTTCAAAATGTACTTTCTTCATTCTCGTGTACATACCTGAAGTCATCAATACAAAACTTTTAGTCAATATTCTTCCTTACATTTTCTCTCTCTTGTTGTTTGTGTTTATCTTGATCGAGTGCATGCGTTGTTGTGCGATCCTAACATTAGTGACATGAAAGTATTAGTCGATGTAATACACATTAATAACTAGGGGCCTAAAGGGCTCCCACGAACAGATCAAAGACAGCCTCTGATAAAATTGAACTTATAATTTTTAAGGTAAGACCAACGTCAAGATGTCAAAGCAGTCAGATTCTTTAATGTTCTATGGTGATTTGTTAAATTTCTTCACAGTTAACACAATCCTCCTTTAAAGTTTCCATAAATGGTCCAATGGCTGAGTTACCGTTGATTATTGTAGATAAGCATTACCTCATAATTGAACTTGCGCTTGTGAACTGGTTTAAACTTCCTAACATCCAGAATTGTAAGTTCATCATCCTGCAGAATAAAATAGTGAGTGTGGGACTCCACATCCGTTGGGGAGGAGAACGAAACATTCTTTATAAGGGTGTGGAAGCACGAAAGGAAAAGCCCAAAGAAGACAATTTCAGCTAGCGGTGGGCTTGGGCCATTACAAATGGTATCAGAGCCAGACACCGAGCATTGTGCCAACGAGGAGGCTAAGCCTCGAAGGAGAGTGGACAACAGGCGGTGTGTCAGCAAGGATGTTGGACCCAAATGGGAGTGGATTGGGGAGCCCCACATCGATTGGAGAAGGGAACAAGCGTCGGTGAGGACATTGGGCCCTGAAGGGTGTGGATTGTGAGATCCCACATTGGTTGGGGAGGAGAACGAACATCTTTTATAAGAGTGTGAAAACCTCTCCTAGCATACGCGTTTTCAAAACCTTGGAGGGGAAATGCGAAAGGGAAAGCCTAAAAAGTACCATATCTACTGGTAGTAGGTTTGGCTTTATAATACACAAATTTCAGCCAAGAACATACGCTATTCCCAACAGCTATGTGCGTGCCATCAGGTTTGTAGGTGATATTGATATTGATATTTTCCACCACTGAGCTCATCTTGCTGTGAGAATTTCCCATCTATATGGAACAAAATGAAAAATGATGAACCATATTCTAACCTTCAATTGGATCAGTTATTCTAAAATCTCAGTTTCAAACACTTACGGGCATCCTATAGAAAAACAGCCTTGTCTCCAGATGCAGTCGCTATAAGATCAGAATGTTTATGGTCCCAGCATAGCTGATCTACACTATCAGTGTGGCAATTTGAGAACAAGATTCCACAGGAGAAACAAAGAACTTATAAAACCCGGCGGAAAAAGAAAACATACATGTTCGTGATGCTCAATATGCGAAACTCGAGCAGTTTGATCGACAGAACCGAAAGCAAGCTTCATGGCCGTGCAATTCCATGCCAGAGAATGTACCTTTCACAGTTACAAGAGAAGATTAATTTAAGATTGAAACGTAGAATGATATCGGCATAGAAAGTATCTAATCAAGGGATACGATAAAGACCTTCTTCTTTGTGACCTTCATACTCTCTGCTGCGAAGATTCTTGAAAGCTGGCCCTGATTCCTCCATGTCCTCCTGGAATGGAACGATTTCAAATCCTGCGGTCCAGACGGATTTTGGTTCCATGCGAAGACCCATTTTTGTGTGGGGAATAATTAATTGTCATTGTAACATATTTTTAGGGTTTGTGTCACGACCCATGCCTAGGATACAGATCAAGATTCGAAATCTAGATTCGGCACCTAATCGCATCAATATTCTCATACGGTCACGTTAATTACTCCTCAAGTAAAGACTATTCTCACAAACTAATACGAATCATTCTAGTATATTTTGTCTTTACTCACATGCATCCTAAAAAAATTCTAAGAGATCATCGAGTATCGAGGAGTAACTTGTTGGTATAAGTAATGACTTTCAATTTTTTTAAGCTTTTTTTAGTCATTCTTTTCTCAGGATCACTCTCATTCGGATTTGATCTCGGTTCATTTATGTATCTCTCCTTTACTTGCGTGTCACATGTCTACCGGCTTCTACCTTGGGTCGTCCTCTAACCACATCTTACTAGGAGAGGTACCACTCTCTATATCACTTTAGCTACCTCCTCTTTTATAAAATATCATAGCATAGCGTGACACAGTATAAAATAACATAGCATAAATATAGTGTAAACGTAAGATAGTACACGTCATCCAATCATAAAATACGACACGTGTAGGGTCACAAGGCACGTGTTGTTCATACAACAAACGAGTCAACCCGATCCAAGTCGTTTAGAGCATTCAAAGCATTGTCTGAACGGTGAGGTAAAATGTTCAAAGCATTGATCTAAATGGTGAACGCCCAATTCAATTCATGCATAAATTGTTAGAAATTGCAAAAATTTCAACGACTCACAAAAATCATCGCATTGCCCACCGGCTGGTTGATTTTTTTTTTTTTTTTTAACTATTACAAAAAATCATCTTTATTAATTGACTTATTATTAGAGTTACATCGTCGGGATATTTGTCTCGAAATCCTTTAAATCCAACTAAAATCCTTTTTGATTGTATAGACTTTAAAGATGTTATACAAACTGATTGGAATGTAAAGTCGAAGAACTAGACATCGAAGAATTTAAAAAATTTAAAAAAATTCAAAAAATCCCAAATTCAATAAAGTTGAATACTTTAAGCATCATAGATTATGACAAAAACGAACATGACACTTATTCTAGCTCATTCCAATGTAATCAATAGAATGTCACGCTAGTGCAAGTGAAATTTCATTGTGCAAGTATCCATCTCAGCGTAGTCCCATAAGCATATGGACTAGTTGTCAGCTGCTACACACGTGTGGGAACATTTAATCCACATAACAATACAAGTACTTATTGTTAGCGGTATTGTTTGGGATCCCAAACTTGAGTTCATAACGTTAGCGTTACCATTTGGTAACTATTCTAATCAGCTAAATATAATTGGAAAAAACATGTCGAAAAAATATGATATAACTAGTACTAGATGCAAAAATGCAAAAATTTAAGGATGCCTGCAAAATAAATTGCATTTACAGGAGATTCTTGTACATCAGCATAAACATCAAACCCACTAAAGGTTGTATACAATACATGAGAAAGGATACGAATTACAAGACAATTGACACTCTACATATTTCATTTATTATCATAATCCCAAGTCACTTGTGTAAAAGAGAAGTATATACACTCTACATTTTTACCTCATCGATACCTTGAGCTCTATCAACGGACTTTCAGTATCGAATAAACAACCCGACACGAACAGTGCTCACCAAAGGAGGTTGAGTTTGGACTTTCTTCGGAATTGCTTCTTTGTAATACACCAATGACTAGGGAAGGTACTTAGCTGTGTACCGATATAAATCGTTCAAAACCATATAAAAAACAGTTAGGTCAGTTTATATCCTAAACTTTCCTAATCTTATAAACTTTCAAAATTATCAAACGTTTCAATAACACCCATAAACTTTCAAAAAAAAGTCTCGAAATACTCTTACCTCTAGTTTTAGATGAAAACCGTTGATACTTTGTTTCAAAAATATCCCCGAATTTTCAAAAGGGTTTCAAAAACACTCTTTTAACTTTTGAAAGTGTTTCAAAAATACCCTTAAGTTTTCAAAAGTTTCATTAATACCCTTAAATTTTTTTAAAAACTTCAAAAACACCTCTAAACAGTTTTGAAACATTTATGGTAAGTACCACGTTTAAAAAATACTAATTAACTTTCAAAAGCAACATTTAAAAGTTTGGAAATAATCTATAAAGTGTCGATAGACGATTTTTGTCTATATATTGAAGGTAAGAACTTTTTTTAACTTTTTTTTATAAAGATAAAAGGTGTTTATACTACTTTTAAAACCGTAAAGGTATTTTGAACTTTTTTAAAAAGTTGAAGAATATTAATAAGACTTTTTAAAGTTCAACAGTGTTTTGAAACACTATTAAAAGTTTAAAGATATTTTTGAACAAAATACTAAGAGTCTCCAACCAAAACTAACGATAAAGGTATTTTTGAGATTTTTTTATTTTTATTTTAAGTTTTAAGGGTAATACTAAAACTTCTTAAAGTCTAAAAGTAAGCACAAACTTTAGGAGTATTTTTATTAATTTAGCCTTACCTAAGTTTAGAGGTATGAATTGATTTTTCCTCCCTAAAACGTTAGCCGTAGGTTAAAGTTAGAGAGGAAGGTGTTGTTTTAGAGGATATTTTCTCCCGTTTGTTGGATGAGAGTCCCACATCGTCTAACTTAGGGAATAATCATGGATTTATAAGTAAGGAATACTATCTCCATTGGTATGAAGCCTTTTGGGAAGCCCAAAGAAAAGCCATGAGAGCTTATGCTCAAAGTAGACAATATAATACCATTGTGGAGAGTCATGTTCATCTAACATGGTATTAGAGTCATGTCCTAAACTTAGTCATGTCAATAGAATCCTCAACTGTCAATTAAAGTATTATGAGCCTCGAAGGCATAGTCAAAAAGTGACTAAGATATCGAACAAAGGGTGTACTTTGTTCGAAGACTTCAAAAGAAGGAGTAAAGCCTCGATTAAGGGGAGGCGTACTTTGTTCGGGGGAGGTGTTGGATGAAAATCCCACCTCGGTTAATAATTTAGGGAATGATCATGGGTTTATAATCAAGGAATGCTATTTCCATTGGTATGAGACATTTTGGAAAAGTTCAAAGCGAAGTCATGAGAGCTTATGTTTAAAGTGGACAATATCATACCGTTATGGAGAGTAATCTAACACAATTAACATAAGAAACAGGCCAAAAGGTTCGTTGGGAATGAAAGAAATGAAATGATAGCAGTGAACTTACATTGCTAATAAGCCTTGCCCCAAACCAAGCTGTATCTGTACCATATGGTGGAGGAATGACTCTGATTCCATCGGACATTGGTGAAGGAAGAAGTCCATAAAGTTCCTTCTGCAACCTTACTGAACCACAACAGTTGTACCATATGTACCAGAGTTAGTTCACGCATATAATTATCGTTATCAATTTAGCTCCTATGATTTTCAAATTAGATGTTTAAGTTGTATGTCATGGTGAATGTCATAGTTGCTCACCGCAAAACCCTTTAAAACAATTTACTAAAATGTTGTCATCAACTTAACCATTAATAAAAATTCATTTAAACCAACCATGATGTCAACAAACTATGAAATTGAAATAACAATAATGCAATGCTCTCATCTAACCTAAGGGCTAGTATATCAAATGCAAATGTGACTACCCTAGCTTCACTTTCATGACCTCCACAACAACGCTCTTATTTATGCATTGGTGTCTTATTTTTACCTAAAAAATAGCTTATGGCGGGAGTATTTAAAGATACTCAGTAAGTAGCCCTATTGTTGGGGTTGAAAAATGCAATCATGATGAGACCTATCTTTTCATAAAAAATAACTTGGTCTTGGTCTCCACTTTTCGGTCTCCACTTTTCAATCCGAATAGTGTTGGATGTGTAGTATTCTCTACACAAAACTCACGCATGCGCACATGGACCCATCAGGCGGGCTCATATAGAGTACCCCTGGGTTGACTACGAGCTAGCGCACGCTCACGCTGCCAGAAGCCACGGAAGAGAAGAAACGCATATACTATCGTAGTGTGGAGAAGTATCTCGATGCACGTGACATACAAAATGTATGAAATCTTATAGTATCAAATCATGGTACATACTTATGATGCAAGTCATACCTCCCTTTCTTTTCACGACATAATGTTCCAATGAGATATGTATAAATATACTTGACATATCTTCCTTTGTTAACATACATGGCATATCAATATTTCATAGTGTGAACATGCAACATAATATACGCGGTATAATATTTCATAGTGTGAACATGCAACATAATATACGCGGTATAACATATGGAGGTTCTTGTATCATATAACATTCATAGCATAGCTTAGATGTTACATAACATATCATCTAGCTTAGATCATCACATAACATATCATATTATATTATAATTCCTATCATAGCTTAGATCAGACATATTATAATTCCTATCATAGCTTAGATCATCACATAACATATCATACATCATACACCATAGCATCACAAAATATTACATGAACAGGAGTCACGTGGTACATGTCATCATACAACATACAAGTCATCTAACCAAGTCATGGGCATCTAACAGTAGAACCACTTACTTGGTTTACCTAAGCTAAAGTCATTATACTCCCTTGATGCTAGCTTAAAACCAATCTCTAAAATCTAATTCCACCTCAGAAGTTTCACAATCAAAATTTAGAATTCTACTGCATAAGATAATTCAAACTTATTTCCAAATAATTTAAATTAGTTAAATAGTAGCCAGACTGACCTCGTCGAAAGGGTCAAACACGCTTATGGAAGGGTCAAAATAATCTTTGTCAAGGAATTGTGACAAAAATACCAAGCGGAAAAAGCCACGTGAGAATGGGAGGATGAGATGAAGTAGAAGTACCCTGAATTGTTCCAGGTACTTTCGGGATGAAAAATTCTTTTTACTTTCGGGATGAAAAATTCTTTTAGATGTGCATGACGTAACAACCAAAAATTTAAATAAATAAACTGTCCCACATTGATTAGATTGAGAAAGTAGGAGTTAGGACGCTAATATAAAAGAGCAGTTCTTCAGTTTATTAAGTCACAGCAGCTACTCTATTTTTATCCTACTTTGGGGATCTGGAACTAGTCGGAGAATCCATGCTTTAGCGTCTCCAGGTTGCCTTCTTGGCTCATTTTGACTCGGGTTTAACATTTTCGGACCACTGTCAACCATTTTCAACCCTTCCAAAGCCGTTTTTTTTATACTTCCAAAGAAATTTGAGGTTAGTATAGCTACTATTTAGTTGATTTAAATTATTTGAAGCCAAGTTTGGATTATCTTATGCAATTAGATAGCCAATTTCCATAATGGAATCCTAAATTTTGACTATAGAACTCCTAAAGTGGAATTAAATTTCAAATAGATTTCAAAAAGTAGTTTTAAGCTAGCATCAGGGGAGCATAGTGACTTCGACTTAGGTCAACCAAATAAGTGATTCTACTTATGAACGCCCACAGGCTTAGTCAAGTATGTTGTATGAATGACACGTACCTTATGACCTATTTACGTGTCATATTTTGTGGTGTTATGGTCTATGATGCGTGATATGTTAGGTGACGGATTATGCTATGATATAAGTTATACTATGTTATGATATAAAAGTTATATGATACATGAACTTCTATATCTTATGTCACGTATATTATGTTACTTCATACTATGCCTATGTGACATTGATGTCATGTATGTCAACCATGGAAGGTATATCCAATATATGCATGCATGTCTCATAGGAACGTTGTCTCATGAAAAGAAAGGGAAGTATGACTTGCATCATAAGTATGCACCACGATTGAAACTATGGGACCTCATGCATTTTGTATGTCATGAGCATCGGGATACTTTCCCGTTATGATTAGTATAGACGCGTACACCATGATATTATATGCACTCCTTTCCCTTGGTAGCTTTTAGCAACATGAGCATGCACTAACTCGTAGTCAAGTCCAAGGGGTACATATACGAGCCCACCTGATGGTTCCATGTTCGCGTGTGTGGACTATGCGTAGAGAAGTACTACACATCCAACCTTGATCAGACCAGAAAATAGTCAGGGCTAAGTTATTTTATGAAAAGATGTCCCACCATGATTGCATTTTCCGACCCCAAAAGTAAGGCTACTTACTAAGTATTCTTAAATACTCAAGTCATGCGCTATTCTTTTTTAAGTAAAGGTAAGACACTCATGTACGGATGATGACGTCGTTGTGGAGGTCATGGAAGCAAAGTCAATGTAGTAGCCCTGAAGTTAGATCAAGGCGTTGCATTATTTTTATGGTTTTTCGATTTTACTGTTTGTTGACATCATTATTGACTTAAATGAATTTTTATGAACGTTTAACTCCATGGCAACATTTTAGTAAATCTTTAAGAAGGATTTCGACCTTATCGTTAGTATATGATTGGAGACCATTTATCTACACCTCATCATCTCCCTCTTCCATTTTCCTTTTATCTCCTTTACTTCAATCTATCACCTATCACTTCTCTTTTCTCTTTTTTACCTCTCCTCTTACTCTCATTCTTTCCTTCCTCAATCTCTTTTAACTACAACTACCCAAGTTATACCTGCTATAGCAAGAAAAAAAAAATTAATGAAACCATCAACGGACCTATCAATTGGAGAGGGTATTATGAATGGCAAGAGCATTTTTTAACCATTTTAAAAAGGTATTATTAGAACTTTGATAGCAAAAAATAGAAAAAAGAAAAACCTCAAAGCTGTAAAGAAAAGGAAAATTGAAGAAGAAAAACCTGCAAGTCCTGGAAGACAAGCACTGCCACCAGACAAAACCACAGTCTTGAACCAAGAATCATCCCACGTTAGTTCCGCAGCATGGCAATGATCCATGCAAAGTGCCACAGCCTCGTGCAGACCCATTGTTCGTCTGCCACAAATGTGAACACCATATCATATCAGTTGCTTCAAATTATATCTTTTGCTACTAAGAGAAGCTGAAATTGATACACTACGCTGGGTCAGACTTACACTCCTCCCATTCGTGGTTGGAATAAGACCTCTCCGGTTTGAAATCGCTCTTTCGAAAGAGTAAACCATCCTTCCCCAGCAGCTTGATAGGATGCTTGAGTATCTTTACACAACTCTGCTTCGTAGTCTTCGGCAACATAACATAGATTCTGAGGTTAAATTTACAGATATTAGACAATATCCCAAAGGGTACTAAAACAGTTCGAAACTTGAGAGACTAACATAAACTACTTGAAAGTTTAGACAGCAAGACAAATAGGCAGGAAAGTTTGGAACTAAAATGAACAGTCCACCGCTAGCAGATATTGTCCTCTTTGGACTTTTCCTTTCGGGATTCCTCTCAAGGTTTTTAAAATGCGGCTGCTAGGGAGAGGTTTCCACACCCTTATAAAGAATGTTTCATCCTCCGCAACCGATGTAGGATCTCATAGTTCACCCCCTTTGGGGCCCAATGTATTCGCTGGCACTCGTTTCCCTCTCTAATCGACGTGGGATCTCACAATCTACCCCCTTCAAGGCCCAGCATCCTTGCTGGAACTCGTTCCTCTCTCCAATCGACGTGGGATCTCACTATGAACCACAAAAATGCTAAAGCTAGAAGGAAAAATATTATATTGCTCGCATCAATATGGACACGAAGTATTGAGTTAATTAGAAGTCCAAACGAGTATAACGAACAATAATTTATTATATTTCACCTCCTAGGAAACAACTTGATTATACACCAGACAAACTTGCTTATGACATAAATCTTAAACAATGAAAGCTTTAATAGTACCTCTTTCAATGTCCGAACGGTGTACATCGATTCAAAATGTATATTATTCTGTTGCATCAGCTCTCGGAGGTACCCTGTAAGCTTTAAAGCTCCCAGCCCCACAACTTCAACCCCCACTTTCCGCATTACTTTGCCATGTAAAACTATAAAAATGGTACAAAAATAATGAGGAAATGTGACAATTTGATGGGCATTAACCAGTCAACAGAAAGATACATAATGTTTTTAGTTTAGAAATATAAGATGCATAATGAGTCATTAAGGTGCGTTTCTTCACAACACTTGATTTATACACATTAGATAAAAGTTGAAATAGAGATCATATAAAGTTAAGTTAGCTTACTTGGGACGATTGAAGTCACCTGGAAACCAACATTGACAACGATTCCCGAAGTTCTTCTTGCAGCATACAGGGCCAGTGTTGCCTGCACATGAAAAAACAGATGGTACATGCAATTATTTAAGACGACAATTATGAAAGTTCCCAATTCATTCAAGAGAACAAATCACAAAACGACATGTTCACTTTTCCTAGGGAGGTAAAGGAGTTACTGGACATGGTCTTAGTGTACCAACCCTTAAAAAATGAAAAGGTTCTACTATGACAATCCTCATCATGGCGAAGAGACGTACTTATACTGGGCTCTTTGATAATGTTGTTTACCATGTCATTTCTTGGTGCTATAGTCATACATCCCTCATTGTAAATTGGGAAGTTCTTTTTGTAAACATTATGGATAACACATCTATNTAAGTTTAAGGGTATTATTTGTAGGTAAGTGGTTTCGTTCGAGGCTCAACAACGTCCTTGCTAGCACACGTTCCCTTCTCTCCTCGCTAAGAGATATCGGGTTTCACAATCCACTCTTTATGGGCTCTCTCACAATTCACCCCCCTTCGGAGCCCAGCATCCTCGCTAACACTCATTTCCTTCTCCAATCAATGTGGAACCCCCCAATCCACCTCCCTTCGAGGCTCAATGTCCTTGCTGACACACCACCTCATGTCCACTTCCATTCAGGGCTCAGCCTCATCGCTGGCACTCGTTCCCTTCTCCAATTGATGTGGGCCCCCAATTCATTCCCTTTCGAGGCTCAGCCTCCCTGACACATAATCCGGTGTTTAACTCTGATACCATTTGTAACAACCTAAGTTTATCTAGTAGATATTGTCCTTTCTAGGCTTTTCCGAACGCTTGGTTCCAGACACGATCTCACAGTATTTATTAAATATTTATTTTCAATTTATTTTGCCTTTTCATGAATTTAAAATTACTTGGAAAGATATTTTTAAATAGTCATAATCAATTTCAAAAAAAAAAAAAAAAAAAAAAAAAAACTGGGTTCACAATTTCCTACAGAAAGACTGAAAGGAAAAATTGGGTTCCTCGTCTTATAAAATGGGAGAGAGTTATTCTCCCCATTGATGAGAGAGATCTTGGCATCATTGGCATCCAACAGAAAAATAAATCCCTCTTGGTTAAATGGATTTGGAGATTTATGAGGAAAAGAAAGCTTTATGGAGAAGATTGATTCATCTAAATAGAGCTCCACACACTTTGATCTTAAACTAGGTTAGATTACCTGTGAGATCTCACATCGGTTAGAGAGGGGAACAAAACATTCTTTATAAGGGACGTGAAAACCTCTCCCCAACAGACGCGTTTAAAACCATGAGACTGACAGCGATATATAACGGGCCAAAGCAAACAATATCTGCTAGCGGTGGGCTTGGGCAATTATAAATGGTATCAGAGCCAAACACCAAAGGGTGTGCCAGCGTGGTCGTTGGGCCCCCAAGAGGGGTGAATTGTGAGATCTCACATCGGTTAGAGAGGGGAACGAAGCATTCCTTATAAGGGTGTGGAAACCTCTCCCTAACAAACGCATTTTAAAAACGGTGAGACTGACGGCAATACGTAACGAGCCAAACTGAATAATATCTGCTAGCAGTGGGCTTAGACCATTACATTATGATTTCATTATCAAAGGGTCCTTGGAGAAATATCGATACAACAAGGGGTTACTCTACAATAACATCATGTATAACGTGGGGAATGGAAAACAACCGGCTTCTGGAAAGATCTTTGGCTGGGAATTAATCCCTTCAAAGTTTACCTACACTTATTTGCTCTATCTCTCGATAAGGACTCTCCCATTGCTGATTTTTGATCCATTGATTCTACCTCTTGGAACCTAAGGCTAAAAGACATCTTACAGAGAAGGAAATTGATGAATGGGATAGCTTATCCACTGCCCTTTATTCTGTTGATATCACAGATAGGAAGACTTTGGTTATGGAACCTTGACAAGAGTGGTTTCTCCACCAAATCTCTTTCCGATTCTCTATCTTCATCAGCCTCTCGTGATAACAAACCCTTAATATAATTCTTCTTATCACTATCAAACCAACATAACCCTTCTTTTCTTTAAAAGCTCCAAACCCTCAACCGGACCAACTTCCTTTCTTCCTTCAAACTTAAGCAACCCACTAGGGGATGGAGTGGGAAAAGGAACAGATAAAACTTCATACAAATAGGTATCGAGGCTTTTTATATATGGACTTGTAATCACAACAGTCATTAAGAGAGTAATAGAGGAGGAGGAGGAGAGGGAAAAAAGAAAAGGATATTTCTTAAGCATAAAACCTGATTAACGGCACAAACAGACGGGACATTCATGTCAAATAACACTGAATGGATGGCTTCTTTGAGTTGCTGTCTCGATGCTTTGGCTGACTCGGTATCTGAAGGAGAAAAGTAATGCAAACATATTTACTCATAATACACATTATTACCTAAATATTGAAGGTATAAAATTATCATAAGTTAACAATAATTCATAATTAATATAAAAAAATTAAAATCTATTTTGAAGTTCAAAAAGATTGATGCCAATATATAGTCAGGTTATATAGAAATTTAAACCCAAACCATGAGTGATGCATTTATCAATTTATTTATTTTTCTAATAAGTGAAATTTTGAAAGAGTTTAAAGTTTTAAGTTAATAATAGTATCAGCACTATGTTATTGTTCATTTTTATGTAGCATAAATTACATTATCGTTGTATCATTTCATTCGTAATTATAACGTATTGTGAGGAACATTTATGATATTTTTTTCCTTTGGTAAGAAAACATTTATAATATAATATTGATGATATTTCATTAGCTATTCTGAAAAGTATTATCTAAAATTGCCCCCAAGGGGGCAACCTCATTGGCAAGGGCTTGGGGTCTCTTTGTCATATTGGCTTAGAAGTCCCATGTTCGAACCTTCGAGTGAACTTAATACTAAAAGCCTTTAATATCTCCCAAGCCTAAGCCCCTTGGGCGGGCGTGAGTGCCCCTAGATGTAGGAGAGCAAAGCTCCGACTCCCGGTTACGAAAAAAAAAAAGTATGGAGGCATTATTATGTCAAAAAGGAAAAACATGGATAATATGTTAAAAAGCATCATAACACTAACAAAGTTAGAATAAGAAACTGACCATCATAATGGCAGATTGGTAATGACACTACCACTGGATGGAACGATGGTTTAACCCGCATCCTGAAATTAGGTGCAGTGGACTTGTCAATACAAACTGCAACTGATAAGAAGACTAGTGATTCGTCGTTATAGAGAGGGGAGTTTAAATATCAGATATAAAAAAGAAAAAGAAAAGAACAGGCCTGCTATAAATAGTAGCAAAAAAATGGCGTAGTCTAGAATACATAGGAGATTCGATGTTCCCAAATTCCTGTAGACAATGAAAAAATTCAATTACTGGACTTAATAAGAGGCCTGAAATCAAGGCTATCTAGCAGCTGTAGGCAATAATCCAAATGGAAAGATTTTGACATAAACAAGGACAGGAAGTTGACAGAAAGCACTCACCAAAAATGTTGGAGAACGACCAGATGGACAAGTGTATTTGCTCCAACCAAATTTGCAATAACCAGAACCACCTTCTCAATAACAAACAAGAGATAGTAAGAGTGCCTTCACGCTGATACAAATTTCCAGAAACTATAAGGTACTGCCAATTGCACGTGCTATTCTATGTTTGGATGCTCATCCAACACTAGCAATGTGAGATCCCACATCGGTTGGGGAGAAGAATGGAACATTGTTTATAAGGGTGTGAAAATCTCTCCCTATCAGACTCGTTTTAAAAACCTTGAGGGGAAGTCTAAAAGGGAAAGCTCAAAGAGGACAATATCTGCTAGTGGTGGGCTTGGGCTATTACAAATGGTATCAGAGTCAAACATCGAGCAATGAGCCAGCAAGGAGGTTGAGCCCCAAAGGGGGTGGACATGAGGTGGTGTGCCATCAAGGACATTGGACTCAAAAGAAGTGGATTGGGGGGTCCCACATCGATTGGAGAAAGGAACAAGTGTCAGCGAGGACGCTAGGCCCCCAAGGGGGTGGATTGTGAGACCCCACATCGGTTGGGGAGGAGAACGAAACACTCTTTATAAGGGCGTGGAAACCTCTCCCTAGCAGACGTGTTTTAAAAACCTTGAAAGGAAGCCTGAAAAAGAAAGCTCAAAAAGAACAGGCAGTGGGCTTGGGCCATTACAAACAATACGTTGAAGCCTACTTTGATTTTGGCTATGTGGAAGGCACCAAAGAAATCAAATTCTTTCCCTTGAAAGCCAAAAAAAAAAGCTGATACTTGAGTTAATCACTTCTATTGAACTAGAAGGATCGACTCTAATTACTCAAAATCTTCTTAATCCTGGAAATGTTTGCCAAAATTCATACAAAGAGAAGTACTCCAATTGGTAATGAGAATTGAACCCGCAAGAATAAAAATCAGTGCAAACACAGTAGAAAGATAGTCACATTAAGGCCACAGGCTAGAAATTCCCATAATCAGAAACCAAAATGAGGGCCAATTAATCAAGGCCAACTGATAAAGGTGGTAAGGGCCCAAGCCCATCGCTAGCAGTTATTTTCCTTTCTGGGATTTCCCTTTCGGACTTTCCCTCAAAATTTTTAAAAGACGTCTACTAGGAAGAGGTTTCCACACACCCTCATAAAGGGTGTTTCGTTCTCCTCCCCAACCGATGTGGGATCTCACAAAGGTAAAGCTTATCAAACAAGTACTCTACGCATAGCAACATCTGGGTCAGAGTTCAGAATATTACTGAAGCTTCATAGTTATCTTTTGTTGATAATCATACTAGACATGCATCATTTGAATGAGTACCTAATATCTTCAAAAACCCATGAACCATTCGAAGTAACTTTTGAGAAAAAAACTAAAGAATGGAAAACTTTCCAAATGCTTTGAGTTTGAAAATGATGAGGGCTTTAGTTATCAAATTTGTCCCAACATGATGTCGTGGGAATCATATATGCATTCAACTCATTGGATATAACTCTACCAAGAAAATGAACGGATTTCAATGACGAAACAAAAATGGAAATAAATGGCCATATGTTCAGTGAATAACATCATATAATGATAAATTTAAATTAGGTTACACAAACTCACCATCAATGATAACAGAGCCCGGCACTTCTGCCCGTTTGCTATACACTTTCATGAACGACAATGGCATCATCTGACTGGAACATGTTCTGTACCACAAATTCATAGTGACACCTTCAAATAACTTCACAACAACGCAACATTATATTCATTTCCCAATTTCATGATGAAATAAACAATTCCCAAACTTACTCAAGAGGGTATCCGGAAGCCAACTTAGTTTCTCCAAACAAAACAGAATCCCAAGGCTCCAATTGGTTATGAAGGAAGAAAATCCAAAGAGTATTGTCAGAAACAAGAGATCTCCAAGACTTACAGAGCATACCCATTTTAGCTGAGGTCTTAGGGCCAGCTAATTTGAGTATTTGCATCAGTATATCCATCGGAATCCGATCGAATTCACCCAACGACGGCGGCTCTTCAAACCCACGGCGATCGGTAGACGACGTTTCCGAGTGCAATCCCGAGCGAGTGGACACGGATCCCCAAACTTTTCTCAGCAGCGTAGCCATTGGGAAATTGAGAAGAAGGAAGAACAGGTTTGGAGTATTGTATGGTAGAGGCAAATCAGTGAAACGAAACCATAATTTTGAATTCCAAAGAAATCACCCAACGAAAACAGAGAAAAGTGAAGAAAGGATTTGGGGTATCTGGAGGAGGGATTGGATACTGAATTGGCCATAGACGACTTGTGGAGAGTCGAGGTGTGGATGACTGACGTGGATGGATGAGTCAGCTGACACGTGTAAACCAGTGAATCCACCAAATTAGAGTAACCTTATAAAATATTTCAGATAAAAAAATGGTTTTATTGCTATTAGGGGTGTACATTCAACCTGACAATCCGGACCAACCCAATCCGAACTATAACTGTTGGGTTGGATTACGTTGGTTTGGATTAAGGTAGGATTGGGTTCATTTTTCTGAACCCAAATTGAATCGTTTGATTTTGGGTTCGTGGGACAAAACCCTTGGATTGATCGAGTGACCCGATCTAAATAAAAATATATAAACTATAATGCTAGAGTGGTACTTTGACTGGTCTAGCAAGACTCACGCTCGGGTTTGACTTTAATCTATTACCTATATCTTTTTATTATTTTGTTTAATTTCTTTTATATTATTTTTAGTTAATTGTATTTTAAATTTTAATTTTTAATACATTTATTATCTATTTGCTCCACGTTATTATATTCCAATTTATATATAGGTGGGACATTTCAATTAAAATATTTTTATATATTTTTTAAGTTTGTTATATACAATATCTTTAAACTAAAGAATTTTATTGTTTATTTAATTTTATGATTTTTGTTACTTTAACCAATTCTAAAAAAATATGAGTATTTAGTTTTATGACAATGTTGAATTATGTTAATAGATTAGATTTTTCGTTCCTTATTTTTTTAAATAAGTATACCTTCATTTATTTGTTTGTGAATTTTTAATATATTTTATCTTATCCTAATCATTATAAAGTGTGGATTAATAAATCTTAAAAAAAAATTGACAACTCAACCCGAAAATAGAGGGTTGGGTTGGAAAAGGTTTTGGGTTGGGTTACCAATCCAACTAACCCGAACTCTTGGGTTTGGTAAAAAAAAAAATCTTTCACCCAACCCAACCGAGACCATGTACACCCGTATAACCACACAACTCAATGATTGTTATTAAAACCTTGTTTATTTATTTTCAAATATTTAATTAAAATTTACCCATCAAAATAGTTATCAGTTCAACCAAATCTAGATTTAAGAGAACACACCAACCAACTCAATCCATAAAAAAAAAATTTATGTATTTAAACTTTTAATATTGTATTGTTTATTAATTTTTCATTTCCTTAATAAAATAAGTTATTAACTTAATTGACTTTGATTCCACGAAATGCACGGTATGAAATCAATGCACTAAAAATCATCTTCAGCAGTCACTTCTCAATGATCATCAGTGTGGTTGGTTACCCAATACACAGCGTGTTACCCTTACCACAAAAATAATTATCAATAATCACCTCTCATATTACGAATATATTATGTTATAAATAAAATAATCAAATTTATTATTAATTATTAATTATGAGACTTTAACATATAAATCCCAACATTTTTCCACCTGCACTAATGTATATGACACGTATTCTCTCACTTGTCGTAGAGAAGATGAGACATGTCTCGTATTCCTAGATATTTTGGGCCACCTTCAAATACTTTAGCCTAAGAATATTTTCATACTTTAGAGTCGTAAGTTCGGTCTTTTGTGACTCAAAAGCAAAAATATTAAACTCAAGTCCACTTCTCGTCAATATTTTAGCTCTGATACCAATTGTAACAACTAAGTCCACTGCTAGTAAATATTGTTCATTTTAGACGGTTATAAGGTCGTTCTCACGGTTTTAAAACGCGTATGTTAGGGAGAGATTTTCACACATTAATAAAAAATGTTTCGTTCTCCTCTCCAACAGTTAGACGTTTTTCATTTTAATTTTATTTTTTCTTTGTAAATTAGACTCGATTTCTTATGAATTGATTAAACAAATAGATATTATATATATTCCAATTCCATAGTCAAATTATTACTAATTCAAAAAAAAATGGTAAAAAGAATTTGGATCCAAGAATCTCTAATCTAGAACTAGCGAATCAAACTCCTCCACGTCACCTCCCAAAATCCACCCTTCCCTCCGTCTCATCCTCACAATCTATATTATATGAGCCTCAGCCTCATCCTCTTTCAATTATCCACTCCAATTCTCTCAACCACCGTCACCCATGGCCGCCGCCGCCGCCGCCTCCTCCTCTGCCGTCATCACCGCCCCAACCTTCTCCGCAGCTGCCAGAAGGCAGCAGCCAAGCCCCTCCGCCCTCTCATTCCAAGGCCTCCGCCTGCTGCCAACCATCAAATCTAGCCGCAAGCTCACCAGCTCTGGCACAAGGAGATCCACGGTGGTGAAGGCAGCGCTGGAGCCATCTGTTGTGATAAGCCTAAGCACAGGGCTGTCCCTGTTCTTGGGGAGGTTCGTGTTCTTCAATTTTCAGAGGGAGAATGTGAGCAAGCAAGTGCCGGAGCAGAATGGAGTGACCCATTTTGAGGCCGGCGATGTGAGGGCTAAGGAATATGTTAGCCTCTTGAAATCTAATGACCCTGTTGGGTTTAATATTGTTGATGTTCTTGCTTGGGGCTCTATTGGCCATATTGTTGCTTATTATATCTTGGCTACCTCTAGCAATGGCTACGATCCTAAGTTCTTCTAGTCATATTCTTGTTCTTCATGGATTATTGTGGTTTGTATACCAAACTTTGCATTTCTAATGGGGTTAGGGACATGGGTTTTGTGAGTTGTTGTGTATTATTGTTATTGCAATGGTTCTTTTTCACAATTACTTCTCGATATGATTACGTGATTTGTTTACCCAAAAGTCGATGTGTTTTTCTTGGGACAATTTTATGTTTTATCTAGTGCTGGTTTCATGAACTAATGTCTTCCAAAATAGAACGTATTGTTAATGTATGAATGTAATATTTTAATCACATGACTCAAACCGTTAGATCCCATGTCGGTTGGAGAGTGGAACGAAAGATTCTTTGTAAGGGTATAGACCTAGTAGACGTGTTTTAAAATTGTGAGACTGATGGAGATACGTAACGGGCCAGAGCGGACAATATTTTTAGGGGTGAGTTTGGGCTATTACAAATAGAATGAGAGCTAGACATTGGGTGATGTGTCAACAAGGATGTTAGGATTCTAAAGAGGGTAAATTATTAAATCCTACATGGGTTGGAGAGAGGAACGACGCATTGTTTACAAGGGTGGGAAATTGATTCCTAGTATACTCGTTTTAAAATCGTGAGGCTAGCGACAATATGTAACGGGCCAAATCGGAGAGGACAATATACATTTTGAGGCATTTCTAATTAGGCAGGTATAGACATGATTTTAGCAAACAGTGATCCAGTGTCATAAAGCATCCATCTGGTGTCCGATCGACACCAAATTTGAGGGCTTTATATTTCATATGGATAGACTTGACTCTATAATCCCATGCCCAAATTCTCTTTAGAACCTTGACTTTCGAGGTTAAGGCTCAAGGTCCTACCAGACCCTTCAACAAGCCTACCTCTAACACTCATGTCGACATGTTGACTCTATCTTGTCTATGTCTCGGCTTAACTTTCATGCACATCTCTATGGAGTGTTAGATGATGCACCATCCTCCTCGGTCGCATCATGACACTCGCTTTGTCTCGACCCTTGTGTAGCGGATTAGGTGCCACTACCATGTCACCACCTTGTCTTGTCTGCACGTGAGAGTCACAATCTACTCTCTTCATAGTATCGTTGTCACATTCTCCTCCACTTAAAGAAGTCATAGTCCTCGGTCGCTTTTCTAGGCACAATCCCATCGTGAATTCTGACACTCATGTAAATAGGGTGAGTATTAATAAAACTCAATAAAGCACTCCCCTATTGGGATCATATATGCAAACCATCATATAGTTCATCGATCAAAATCGAGGGATCCTAGTGGTTGATTACCCAAAACACAGCGTGTAATCTACCCATAAAAACCATTTTTAACAATCACTCCTCAATGACCATTAGTGGTTTGGACGAGAGAGCTCAAGGAAGAGAAACTTCCATTGAAGGAGAGCATAAAACTTGATAACTCTTAGTCCCTTACTCTCTTTTCTTATTCTATTGATTTTGTATGACTAAGATGTTGATTTCTCTGTGAAAATCAGTGTGTATGGAGAGCTAAACCGATGCAATCTCTCCCTTGGTCTTTTGAGAAGTTGCGATAGAAAAAACCTAAGGACACATGAGCGCGGTGGTCCGTGCGAGATTTCTGTCACCATGAATGCAATACCTAGTCTCATAGGAGACGAGGCAAGAGATTTTTATGTAGTTAAAACATAAGAGTTGTTATTAGTAATCTACATGTTTTTATACATAGTTGTTTCTCTTATTCGAAAGAAATAGAGCAAGATAATCCTCTTTAATACTTTAATTCTAGTCTTGAAGGTAATTGAAGGGTTAAAATAATTATTCTTTGTTAATGGAAATTACAAAACGATTATGAGAGCAATCACTATGCATGACCCTCGTACATATATGATTTCTGTATTTTAGGTGATCGGTAGGATTATCTCTCTAACAAAGTATGCATGAGTGAACCAAATTAAGATTAGGGAGCTAGAGCTAGAGTCGTTTCGTTCACATTGATTAAGGTTAGTACATTTTCAATTGACCTAGTACCATAGACCGGGAGCGATAATCAAAGGCCTAAACCTTAGTGCTCCTAAAAATTGGATTAGCCTAATGAGTTAGTCTCGATCGTCCTGAAAATACAAGATGAAATTCAAACTTCCTAAATGCCTTAATAACCTAGTAAACCTCAACGACAAGGAGGACTAAGAAAACTTAACAAGCTTAGTAGTCGAGTGAATGGTGACACCTGAGCCTCGAGCTCCCATGAGTACCCCTTTAGTAGGTTTTTGTAACAATATGGATGAGTCTCATGATCACTTGTTCTATGAGTACCCTTTTAGTATGTCTATTTGGGGTATGTTGCACCACGATCATGCTTGTTCAGGACGTGCTGCCTATAGCCGCATGCCCATGTTCTATTATTTTTTTGTGTATGACATTTCGACAAAATCGTGTTTACTCCTGTCTGACATGAAATGCCTAAAAATATACTATGGAGGGGACTAGGTAGTCATTAAACCTCCCACCGAAAAAGTATTATAATCTCTCTTGCTCACATGTTTTCATTGCAATTGACATCTACAATGATTTCTTTCAAACTGTTTTCAACTCATTTCCTTACTTATAACAACATTTTATCTCGAAACGTGTAACGAGACTCAACCATACGTCCAAATTGTCTGCTAAGTTCGATTTTTACATGAGTGACTAGTTCATTGAGTTAGAATAAAGTGTCACACAATCGTTGTCTCGCTACCAAAAGAGTACAATTGTGACAAGTGATATCAGAGCTAAGTTAGCTTCTTGCTAGTTGAGATCGAAACAATGTTAACAATAAATAGCTGGTCAAGTCACAAGTTGACCAACTAATTGAGATGGAAGAAGATATGATGTTCGAGAAGGAAATTCTCGATATTACTTGTTCCTTGGGAAACTAACTAGTTAAATTGGATGGGAAAGTCGGTGGAACTAACGCCATGAGTGTCCGATGGGATGGGTTGCCCATTAAAAGCTTGATATAAGGTTGACTCTCTAAAAGAGAGAGTTACACAACTGAGTAGCTTAGAACGGGAAGGTAGCTCTGAAAGTTTTGTCGCACACATAGAAGAGCATGTCGAAGAGCTAGGCATTTCACATAAGACTATGTTGAAACTTTTTTAATGAGTTGACCGAAGATTTCAGGCCAATGATAGACGACATCAAGGTAGAGATGGCTTAATATGCAAGAATTTGATTGGGCTACTGCATTTTGAAGAATCATTTAGTGTTGTGCATTGATCCATAAATGTGTGTAAGTGACCCTACTGTTGGCTTGGTTGGATGAATTATATTATGTATGATGACGCGTGTCTGGTAACCCTTGCACGTGTCATAACTATGATTGTTATGTCATACTATATTATGCCTTGTTCGGCTAAATTGTACTATGTTATGTCATGTCATGCTATGTTGTACTATGTTATGTCATGTCACGTCATGTTATGTTGTGTTAAGCTATGTTGTTGCAATGTCATGATGATGATAATCTATGATTATAAACCTATGTCATGTTGTGTTATGATTTTGATAATTTTTTATGCATAAACATGTCATGCTGTTGCAATATGTTATGATGATGATATCTATGTTGCATAAACCTTTACAGACCGTGCCACATAAGATATGCTATGTACGAAAGACTCGACAGAAACAATGTATGCATAATTCACGCTCATTATACTATGTTATAGATGAATGAAGATTTGACTTGCATAATTAGTTTATATCATGATTTTAAGCGATGTTGACCTCATGCATTTTTGTGTGTCATATCCATCGAGATATTTCCCTGTTATGATGAGTACGAATGCATACCTTACGACTTACGACTTATGACATTCATATTTGTCATGATGTTATGTGGGCCCTATCTCTCCATAGTGTAGCGAGTGCTAGCCCGATAAGCTAGGCCCAGGGGGTTGTGAGCCCAATGCTTGCACGAGTGGGTTGTATGTAGAGAAGTACTACACATCCAACCTTGCCTAAGAGAATGCCGTGTTGTTTTTAAATGATATTTCTCACTATGTTGCATATGTTTGCATCTCTCGAACTCGAACAATATTTCATAAAATACTCAAGCCGTGTGTTACTTTTATATATCGGGTAAAGATGAGGCATGAAACTATAACCCATTTTTTAATTTTCGCTTAGAGAAAAAGGAAAAAAAAAAAAAAAATTACTATTGAAAGTTGTCGTAATATTGACCGCCGGTTCACCGCCCGAGCCGACATTGGGCATTTGGATTTAGAGTGTGGGACCCGATTCGTAAGATAGTCTAAGAACAAACAATCTCACCCACGACGTTTCTTCCTTCCTTCTGACTCCCAATTTCGCAGACAGATCGTCAATCAATTAGAACCGGGACTTCTGAGGTAAATCTCTTACTATTCCTTCTTCCATTTTCTGCATTCAAGCACATCAAGCTTCTCTGTTTCTTCATTGAATTCGGTTCCAATCAAGTTTGTCGAGCTAGGGTTTTCTACGGTGTTTGTGGGTGCCCTTTTTCACATTTTTAGGCATATTTCATTCTTATATGCTGAATCTGAAGTATCTTCTTCCATTTCTCCACAATGGTCGAAGGACGAAGATAGCATGTATTGCTATCTTGCTTTAGGTTCCATACGTTTTCTCAATTTGAAGGTAAAAAACTCAATGACGCCTCATGAATGTAGCCAATCCACATCCTAGTCCCCAAACCTCCGTTAAAACTCGCTTAATTGCGTATGGACTGGCTGAATTTTGACTTTGTAAATGAATTTACTAGTTTGGGGTATGCATGGCCAATCTAACCTGCAATGCTCAATAAAGGAAATTCGCCTAATTCGGTCTTAAATTGTCAATTTTTGGAGGGAAAGTTGTATTTATCAGCTTAGCGTAGAATTTACTTAGCCAACTCCCGGACAAGCTTCCACCTTAACCATATATTGAATACACCCTCATTAGAGGGTATGGCTCACTCTTCTAGGGATTATTACTCGATTTTGATCTTGTTTTCCCCATCCACTAATGTGGAGTACGTTTTGGTACCTTGAATTTGGGGCAGACATACAAAATGTGTGACAAGACTTTCAACTAAAAGCCCTATATTAAGGGGTAGCATCCTCTAACAAGGAACTCATTCCAACCTATGTTCAAATGTTCTCTACTCTATTATTCAGTTTTTTTTTTTGC